AAACTAACGAAATCGGGCTAGACGGTTTTTACCAAAATCGAGAGATTGGCGAAATTATTATTAACCCGGTAACACTAATAACGATCCATTGCAAAAAATCCCGATTTAAAGATTCAATACGATGTTTATCAGCAGTTGAATATAAACAAGAACGAGTAGATTCGAAAGTGGTTTGCTGGAAATCTTTAAAGGTAAGAGGATTTTTTTTCAAAATGGCATGTTATTGTTGTCATTGACGTGCTTGCTCCCCATTTGTTTTTGCAGATTTTGCAAATTTGGGCGCCACTCTCAATTTCATTAAGATATTCACGAACAGGTGCAAGTTTTCATTTTTTTTTGATGGTTTTTCTTTTATAGAATGATCACTTTCAAGAGAAGTTTGAGTATCTTCAGTTTCAATAAAAGAATTGTAAAATGAATAAGAATTTGTAGAGGACATTGAAATTAATAGGGATACGTGAAAAAACAAGCAGCTTTTTAAATCATTTTTAATAATTAAATTTTCTATTTTTGTTAAACATTTTTAATAATACAATTGATTTTTTATTTAAATGAAATAATATCCTTTTGTTCAGTATACTTAAATATATTTAAAAGATTCGGGTCAATCAAATACATTATCTTTTATTTATTAATTTGATTGGAAGAGGAAAAATCACGTTGTTGTTGACCATGTGACTATTGGAGTCAGCTCAGCCAAAGCAAACTTAAAAGCTGACTTTGAATGAGCATTTTAATATCTCTATTACTGGTTAATGAAATAATTAATTTTAAAGTTTTAAATTTGTATTTTTAATATGTTTTATTAATAAATTTTGATTTTAATTTTTCAATAATCAATGAATAAAAAAATATCAAATTTTTTTATTAATTTAAACTATTAATAATAAACATTATTAAGTAATTATCAAGTAATTAATATGTAATATCTAGTCCTGCCAAAACAATTTTGTAAATTTTGATTTTCTTAACAATCTATAATCTATAAACCAAAAAGTATAAAATTTGTTATTTTGTTTATATAATTATAAACTATATTATTTAAAAATTTAAAAATAATTTATTATATACATTTTAAAGTAATTAATAATCCAATACTTATATACCCCTGTATTTGAATGTTTATTTTTTTAGATTAAATTTAACTTTTGGCTAAGCATATATTTTTCTTTCATGTAATTTATCACGGCTGAATTTCATTTAATAAGATAGATAGTAAAATCGCACAGCATGTATCAACATTGACGTTAATATGATAAGAAAAGAAATAAAATTCTCATAGTGATTGAATGGTTGATTGAAATGGCAATGTATGGTGAGTGGTATAAATACAGAGTTGATTCCAAGTTCATAACGAAACCAAATTATCCATTTACTCCTTCCACCACAATAATAAATAATAATTACACCAACCTAAAAATGACGCGAGTCAACCCTTTAACCCTATCAGACAGTCAATATGCCAAAAAGGCTATCCATTACATCGAAATGTTAAACAGTTTACGACGACTTGGTGCCCACCATGCTGTTGATTTGCCGACTGTTGTGTTCTGTGGTAATCAGTCCGCGGGAAAAAGTAGCTTATTGGAGGCTATTTCCGACGTACAGGTATACAAAAATAATATATATTGATGGTTCTATTGAAAGTTTTGCACATGATAATAAGTCAAAGTCGAATAAATGCAATTAATAGTTGCCACGCTCAGACGGCACATGTACTCGATGTGTAATGGAAATCCGTCTTATGGATTCCAAAAACCGGTGGGAATGCCAGATCAAACTGAGAAAAGAATACGACAACAACGATGATAAAAAATTATCACGCCCAGAAGAATTCAAATTCGGTGATATTATCATCGACAAAGCCAATGTAGAACTAATGGCAAGACGAGCGCAGAAAGCTCTGCTTAATCCTACGAGAAATTGGACTGAATATCTCAATTGGACCTTCTCAACAAGCAATGAGGTCGATGCGAGGCAGAACGAAATAAAATTCACGAAAAATGTTGTATGCTTGGAAATAAAAGGTCCTAAAGTACCTAATTTGAGTCTAATCGATTTGCCTGGGATTATTAGTATGTTGCTTTTTCCTTGTTATTAGTTTAATCGATGTTTAATTAAATATTAGACTATAATTTAATTTTTATTGATTATTTAAAGGGCACACTGAAAATAAACAAGACGAAAAGTTTATCACGATAATCCAGGACTTGGTAGAATATTATATTGGAAAGGAGAAATCTATCATCATCGCGACTATTTCCTGTAAAGATGAAATCGACAATCAGGCAATTGTCGGACTAGCAAGGAAAGTCGATGAATTCGGGATCAGAACTCTAGGCGTCCTTACAAAACCAGATACGATCGAAGTCGGTGCCGAAAACCAATGGTTAAAAATAATGTGCGGTGAAGCACATAAACTCGAATTAGGATACTATATTGTGAGAAATCCTCCGCCAAAAGAACTCCAAAGAGGAATTACTTTTGAAGAGGCACGAAAAGCGGAAAAAGAAGTAAGATCATTAAAAAATAAGAAACGCATATTTTATTTATTTAATTCCCAAATATTTCCTTCCGATCATTAGTTCTTTGCAGGATCATGCACTTGGCATCATTCTCATTTGCAACCCAGAATTGGCGTAGAAAAATTGCGTGGAAAGTTAAGTGAACTCCTTATAAAAGCTATTGAAAGAGGGCTTCCTTCAATCAAAAAAGATGTTGAAGATCAACTTAATAAGGTGAACTTTATTAAATATATTCATTGATTCTTATATTTGATGCTCTATTTTTTAGTTGAAGAAAATACTTTATAAACAATAGGCTCGAAGTGAACTGGAAGAATTGCCTGATCCCATATCCGAAAACTCACGTGTCGAACTTTACCGCCTAGCCAAAAAATGTGCAACTATGATAAAAGAACAAACAACATGCTCGAATAATAAAATGAGTCTCTGGCAAGAGATCAACGAAGAATTGAAAAGTTTCAAAATCGAGCTTTGCAGTACACGGCCAATCTTCGTCGTCGGCAAAAACAAAGGCAAACACGGGCTCGATGATGCAAAATTTGACGTTTTGAAAGAATTTGTGGATCCAGGAAATGTGGATCCAAGAAAATTGGAAGAAAATAAACATGATTTTAGTCGGAAGGAAACCGAGAAGCTTCAAGAAATTACAGAGGCGGATATTCGGCGCACAATTATGATTGCTAAAGGAAGACTGTTGCCAGGATTCATACCGTATTCTTCTGCATTAATGCTGATACGCGATTTTCAAAAGAACTGGAAAACCCCTGCGTGTCATTGTTTGAATAACATCCATCACATTATGAGTAGGCTGGTTGACAAATCAATTCAAGAGACATTTGGTAGATTTCCGATGCTCATCGGAATTATGAAGTAAGTTTACTTGGCTTGTATGGCAAATAAACTTGATATTTTCACATTATTCGAATTTAATTCTTGATAGACAAAACGCCATGATCTGGCTGGATACGTGCAAAAACGAAACTAACAAACGACTTGAATTTAACGTACTCATGGAAAACTCGTATCCATTCACTTTGGACGAAGGAACCATGTCAAAAGGAAAACTCACATACCTTGCAGCCCTCCAAGAAGCGGTTCAGATCGATGGCGATCGGCAACCATCCGACTACTTGGAGGTAATCGCTGCGGTGATGGCCTATTTCAAACTATCCTTCAAACGATTCGTTGATTCCGTTGCGATGACCATAGCATATGCATTCGTCGACGAGTATCCCAAACTAATAGAAGAAAAGTTATTGGCGCAAATTATAGAAGGCGAGAATGGAAAAGTGATGGATGTCAATGAACTGATAGCGGAAGATAGCTCTATTGCTGTTGCTCGTGAAGAACTGTTGCAACGCGAAAAACATATGAGGGAGCTATTAAATGATTTGGTGCGGTTTGGGATTTGAAATGGTAGCACAGCTAATTCGGAATTATCTTTCTGCAGCTAACTAAGAAATTTCTGAAAATGCATTTACATGTATAATGATAATGTATCTATATACGTATATGTAGCAAATACGTACTGTAATTCTAATCATGATCCAAGAAAGATTAGAATGACATTTGTCGTTACCATTATCGTTATACGCAGTAAAAATCAACTTCTTTTTGCATATAATTATCGCGGAGTTTTCGTTCCCACAGAAAGAATGAAAACAAGTTTTTCCTGGGAAATGCAACTAATAAAAGTAATGATTTTCTAGATCTTCAATGAGGAATGGCGGAATGATATATTTAAAATGTTCCGCCTTGTGGTCAGTTGACAAATAAATAAATGTGATTCCTGTTTTCCTACGATTAAAAAAAATATGGATAATTGGAAATTATACACAAATAATCGTTATTACAAAACCAATAAAGCTGATGACGAAGAGAATGTCACGCTTATTAATAACGTCAACAAAGACGGGAGCGACACCGACAGTTTTATGAGTGATTTAAGTGTGAATGAAACACAAGAAAAAGTTAGTTCATTTTTTTTTCTTATCGAATATATTCATTTTGCCGGTTATTCTTTCATTTATATCATTTATTTTTCTTTGATAGTTTACTCAACTTAAAATCACCAGAGATGAAGAAAACAACTATAATAATCAATTAACGGATTTTGTAGAAAATAATCATACTGTAGAAAAGTTGTCGCAAACACCAATAATCGAACAACCTCAAAAATCTTACAATTACATTCACAACCAATACACCCAGCAAGATTTTCGTCAAACAGGACTAGATAAAAGAAACGCATTCGGAAATTTTGTAGAGCTATATCGCCATTTCTATACGGATGACCGTTTCGTGCGAGATCTTTCAGTATTTGTGTATCTCGAACAACTCGTCATCTATCTGGAGCGTAATATTCACACGTTGGCATCCGAAGTGACAATGTTTCTTCCATCGATTATCGAATTAGTTGCAAGGTATGTCCCCGAATTCGAAATTGTGTTTGTAGAACATTACAAATTTAATGGCCACGGGTTTTATGGGATTATTAATGTGGCGGAGTTGTTGGTGGATTTGGATGCTGGGTTGGGCGTGAGACAAGTTACCGGATATGGATTATTTTTGAAACTTGACTATCTTCCCCCTCCTCTTCCTCCTCATCCTCCTGTTTTGCACTCTTCTTTCTCGGTTGGTGATGAAAATAATAATAATAATAATAATAATGATAATAATAATAATAAATTAGTCGATAGTTCGAGTGACATTCGATATACTGTGATGAATCGAGATGAAGAAGAGGAAGCAAGAGAATTTTTGCAATTACTGGCGGAAGACGGTGAAGAATTCGAAGAACCAGATGATGATTATGAAGATGACGATGACGAAGAGTTTAGTGATATACAATCAACAACATCTTCGACTACAAACAAGTACAGCGATATTATTAATGATAGTCGAGTAAAAGCGAATCATGATGAACCACCAGAATATGACATGAGCATCAGTGATATGGAATATAACACTGATCATGATGATAATAATAATAATATTTCCGATTGCGCCTCTATGGTGTCATTTGAAGTCGTTGAGTGTAACACAGATGTAAATGATGTTTCGGATATCGAAAGTATCACCACTGAAGGAGGAGAATGGCATTGCGTTTAATCTACGGAATCATTTTCAAATTTTGAAGATGGTAAAGATGAAAATGGTGGTGATAATAAAATCCAGAAACCACCACAGTTGAACGTATTTCAGTCTTCACCTGTTTTTATATATATATACATATACATATTTCTTTTAAACGTTAACCTTCACCTGTTTATATATACATTATTTTTCTTTTAAAATATTATTTTTAACACTGTAATATATCAATTTCATATCAAGACTTGTGGATAAATTTTCAAAATAAACTTTACAGATAATCCAGCAATTTATTTCATAGTATACATACAGTATACCAAAATGTGTGAATACGTATAAGAAGATAGAGAATATTAACGTTAAATAATAATAATATGTACAATTACCACTGAAATGAATACAGATTTAATATAACATGATACATGTATTAAAAGTCTTAGAAGGCTTTTGGACGAATAAACACATTTAGATTATCGCAATGATTAATCATTCCGAAACTATACTGCAATTCGCCTCGGCTATCTTCCAATTCTATCTCATACTTTCTCAATAGACAAACCAACAAAGTCTTCAGCTCTAATATTGCCATCTGTCGCCCCGGACAAATTCTCAATCCGCCACCAAACTGCAACAATGCATTCTTTGTTTTCGAAGATTCAATCTTCAAAAATCGATCTGGATCGAATTCTTGGGGGTTGTCCCAGTGAGCAGGATTCAGGTGAATTCCGTGAATATTTGTATAAAACTGAGTGCCAGCTTTCCATCGAAAACCGACTATTTCGTCATCTTTTTGCGCTGTTTTTACAAGTGCTGGTACGACTGGAGTTAGTCTGGCGGTTTCTTTGATGAATGCATCAAAGTAGATGAGTTTTTCGAGACTTTCTTGGGTGATTTCTCGGTTCTGTAAATTTGGACCGAATACTTCGGCCATTTCTTCGAGTAAACGTTGTTTAGCGTGTGGATATTTGCACATGTTCCAAATCATGAATGTCAGAGAATTGGCAGTCTATTAAATTTATTTGTCATGTTAGCATAAAAATACAATCAATTCTTCAGATAAAAATTAACAAAAAATAAAGAATACCGTATCAATGCCAGCAGCGAAAACTTCAACCAGATTCTCTGCTATTTCTGCATCATTCATTGGTCGGTCGATCGAATTTATAGTAGATACTTTAGTCATATCTCGAGGCGTATTTGTCGTTAACAATAATGTCAAAACATTGGCTGGCAATTGTACATGAGGTGGAGCACATTCAATCTCTTGTCGCCGCTCTTTAATGATTTCCAGCAATGTAGACAGCATCCACTTTGAATTTTTCATGAATTTATCTTGGTAAGATTTGAAAACAGGAACATAATGACGAATCCATTTCGGGAAAAAGTAAGAGAATTGTACTGCGTAAAACCAGGTCGTTATTGCTTCGACAAAGTCACCTTCAAATTTAAAGACGGATTGCGGATGTTGAATTTTGGCTTTGTCGCTGACGAGGGAGTTGTAGTATATTGCACATTGATACGCTGGCTTGCCAGTACTCATTATCACTGTCACATCAGTGACCATACACATTGACCACGCAGCAAAATCTAATGGTTTATGCGAAGCAAGCTTTCGCCAGTATCCTTCTGTCTCTTTAAAGTTTTCTTGAGTCGCCTTCACTAATTCTTTTAGATATGATTTAGCAGTCACAGTCTGGTTTACCAACCCGCGATTATACTGCCATGACTCACGATTCATAATAATCCCTTTGTTCGTATATCCAAACTCATCAAGTCCTTCCGACGGTCCAGTACGCATTGTGAAATTATTTTTGGTAGATGGATTATAAATTTTCTCCACAAAATCAGCACGACCGAGAAAAATCGAGCGTTCTCTTCCCAACCAGACTTCCCAAGCGTCGCCGTATTTCGCTTGTGCTTTGTTTGCCCATCGTGGCAGGTCCCATCCTATTTGGAGAAAGTTTCCTAAAAGTGGAAGCGGGATCGGACCTGGAAGAGGATTTTCTCGCGTGTAGTATTTATAGTAGAAGTATGCTATGTAGGTTACGAGTAACAGCAATATCACACTTTGCCAGCCGGATTGAGCGTGAGAAAAGATAGATGAAGCTATCGACATTTTTAGGTTTGTCTTTGTCTATGTGTTTTGTTTAAGGAATGTTTCAGGAAAGAGTGAATAATGTGTGTAAAGATAAAAGTATAATTTTTCCACGCGTTTATGTCTTTAATAAAAAATATTTATTGTCTTGCAAACACAATCTGGCTGTCTACCAACAAAAAATTATCGTTTCATTTCGACTTTTACGAGTAGTGCCATTATATAGCAGAGGGAGAAAGCCAAACATCTTCATACCACAATAAACTCACTCGAGGAAGAATATATAAACGAACAATGACATCCTAACTATAGATATTATCCTCCTTTTAGCTAATAATAATACGGCTAAATTTATTATCCTTTATTATTAATTCGATAAAGAGCGAAAATCACGCATTAGAGCCTAGGAATCATGAAGAAAAAAAGTTTTATCAATGATGTTAAACTTTGAACAATATCCAGAATCCAAAAAAATTTTGGTGTATTGTTCTGTCTCGATGAATTAATAACTAAATTCCATGTGTATCATTATTATTATCGTTATCGTTATGAAAATGAAAACCTTGATCAGCAGCATCAATGAATGATCCTTGTGGTCCTTATTAAATACTTTGGCGATAACTAAATTTGGGTCTAAATGCGATTGACCAATAGACTAGATGGGAACATAAAAAGTATGGTCAATAGAATGAAACGTGATATGCAATACTAATATGTATTTTCGTGAATTTGTTTGTGTATCGGTATTACGTACGTACATGTATTCGGTATTGTTTTTTATTGACAACAAAATCCGGTCACATTCTATCGTACGCAAACTAAAAGCGTACGAGAAAGATGACCAAGTATTACATGTACATGTATATGATAATAATTCGCATTTCTGTATTGTTTTGTGTTTAAATTAGTGTTTAATAATTAATCATCTTTTGATTAGGGATATTAATAGTTCAGGAATTTTATCTCTTATACATGTTGATATACGACATATTGATATCGATATAAATTCTAAAATTTTAATATTAACGATGTCTGAATGAAATTACTACAGTTCTGGCGGAAAGTAATGACGGCCAGTTTTTTTATTATATTTCATTCAATTATATAATAAAATTTAAAAAATTTATTTTGATAGTGTCTTTGAGTAGGGCATTATGCCCCTAAAATATCATGTGCTCTCTTTCCGTGTTGAATAAAATTTAATGGTCTAAAATTTTGTAACTTGAACGTTTTTTAACTAAAAAAAAAAACCAAAAATCGCAATAATTCGATAAAGATTATTCTGATTAAAATGAAATTACTGCCAAAATGTTCGTCTTATTGAGACGGATTAACATTATAAAATTCTGATCACTGGTTATTGAGAAAAATTTTACAAACCTGCAATCAGAATTTCGCAAATTCATTTTTTATTTTTTTTAATTGTTATTATATTCTAGAAATCTAGCGCTTTATTAATATTATGCTTCTATAAAAATGCTAGTATCATAGTAAAATTTACATAATAATTTCACCGCCATTACTTTCCGTCGGAACTGTATTCTTGTGAATTATTAGACACTAATAATACTTCAGTATAGTTGGACGCCTAAACCGGTGACATTGAATTGTCACTGGTTTCGGCTAGAGTTGTAAAAACTGTATACGCCTAAACTATAATCTAAACCGTGTGCCAATACATCACATGGTTTTTACACCCATCTTTAAATACTTCCATACAAATATTAGAAACTTTCGAGTCAGAAACTAATTACATTTGATATATGAATCTTCAAACCAAGAACTTACTGCAAATTTTACATATACTATACCGGTCATAAGTAACTGCACTCCCTAATTCTTCCAAAAATAAAGCAAATCGCAATTTTATTTTTTTATTGAAAATTACATGACTAACGCCGATTACATAGTATAGTCCCCGTTGGATTCTATTAGTGCCAATATACAGCGTTTCATACTATCCACTAATTTTGTGACAAACTCAGACGGGAGATGGTTCCACTCTTTTGTCAGTTCCCTCTATAATCCGTTAACTGTATGAAATTTTTTTATGTTTGACTTCATTACATGCCACACGTTCTCTATATGATTTTGATCCGGAGACATTGACGGTCAGAGTAGTTCCTTAATGCCTTTTTCCGCCTTCAAATTCTTCGCAATTTTCGAACGATGCTTGGGATTGTTGTCTTCCTGCAAGGACCAGTCTAAGTTACCCTCACCAAAAACTCAGAGGCGAAAGGAAGAATACCCTCCTTGTGGATCCTACACATAAAATCGGCATCAAGGTTCCGCTGAAAGCACGTCAACTCGTCGAACCCCGAAACTGAAAAACATCCCCACACATGGACCTCCATAGTACGAAATACTTTTTATCCTCTCAATAAACTGCCAAAATTTTTTTGATGTGAATTGTTGAAAGGTACTTTCTCCGTAAAAATAACCTTGTTCCAGTCAAAATTTTGATGTCTCTTCGCCCATTGCAGTCGTTTTGTCCGGTGGTTCTCTGTAAGAAGAGGTTTTGAAATTTCGTTAGTGTACTCCCCCAGCGCCACAAAGACGTCGCCTGATAGTCTTCGCGTTAATGTCAACATCCCGCTTTCCCACATTCCGTTGTCTTGGATACTTGTTATGTTATGCTCCATCTTCGTTATTCGTTCTTATTGTTTAGCCGTGTGCGTCATCGACCTGATTTTTTTTGATCACTTAGGTCCTTCGAAATCCGCCATCTTTGAATCCCATTTTTTGCAATGTTCTTAAAACAACCAATTTTTTCATAGCCTCACTGTGGTCCTTGTGGGATGTGGGATGCATCTATGTACACCCCACCCGATTTGGGGATATTATAAAGCGTTGTATCCACGTGATTAATCACCGGTCAATGCTTTGTAAGGTCAGGATAAGGGTTAGGGTAGGAGTGGAGTAAAGGTTATATGTAAAATTGTCTTCCCAACATTTTTAATTAGTCTTTCAAGCTAGGTTTACCCATTCGTTTTCCGTATTTTTCACATTATTTGCCTTTTTAATTTTCTTGTACCGGATTTGTTTTGCCGGGTTGATCAAAATTTGTGCATTCTTATTGGTGATCAACAAAATTTGCGCATCTTCATTGGATGGATTACCTGAAGGTACAACGCTTTATCGTATCCCCGATTTGGTAATAACAAAAATAACCAATAACATTGCGTATTTTTGGAAATTTCTACTGTAATAAAGATTAAGGTTAAATAATAGTTCTAAGATTAGGATTATGATTATGGTTAGGGATGATGATCCAGGTTATATATAAAATTGTCTTCTCGACATTTTTTATTAGTATTCCGATCTAGATTTAGACATTTGTTTCTTGTATTTTTCACATTTCTCGCATTTTTCATTTTTTTGAGTCGATTTGTTTTGCCGAGTTGATCAAAAATTTATGCATTCTTATTGGTTGTTTTTATCCTAACCAAATCGGGTGGAGTACATAAATGCATGCGTGAAAAAAGTTAATTGATCATCTAACTCCTGTTATACATGTATATTGCACCAACTTATTTGTGTACATATAATTACATGTATACAGATTATTAAGATTAGTATCATCTAGAGATGGCGCAGCAAGTACGTGATGCTTATTTGTTGCAACTTCAAAATTTTATAAGCTGCAACTAGTTGCAACTAGATGATGCTTTATTTGTCATCACATTGTAACAATTACCATGCTATCTTTAGTATCATCCTCAAATTTCTGAAATTTTTGTCACTTGATTTCAAAAAATTTTGGTGTGCAGATACTTATGATTGTACTAAAACTAATTCAATTACAAATTTGCGTTGCCATTTACAAAATAAATACAATATCTTATATTTAGCTTCACAAGAAAAATTACATCCACATCTTATAGATTTCTGTTAATGAGCAATTGCAGATTTGCAATCCTTTACTACAGTTAAACAACTACACTTTCGTGAACTTTTAGTTACTCTTGGTCACAGATATCAAACTCCTTGTTGATGTTACAGTTCATTATATTACTCAAGGATGAAAATTAAAGCAAATAGTTTTAGCTTAAATAGAAAAACATTAATATTTCTAATAAGATTCTCTCTCAGATAATGTACTTTAACAACTGATAAGATAGCATGTGAAAAAAACAGCTAAAGATTTGGATCATGAATTTGACAATTAATTTTTTCATTGCAAATGTATAAAGTAGTGCTCCAACCAGATCAGGTCCAATTCGTGACCTGATCCAGAATGCATATTTTGGATCAGGTCAGATTGGGATCAAATCTGACCCGGAATATTTCGAATCAGCCTAATAAATGTTATTTCTCGTTCAATATTAATTGGAATTAAACAAAAATTTGTGGATATATACACAATTATATCCTGAACAACTCTACTTAGACACAAAATACAAGTGTCTTAGTAAAAATAAAAGTTATTAATGAAAAATTATTTTACGATTTTTGGAGCAAATCCAATCCGAATTTGATCCGAACAGAGCTTTAGTGTGAAGGATAGTTGAAGAATCTTTTTTTAAAAAAACTCAACTTTTATTAAAATTCTTCAAAATTCACCACATATGTCAGATATAAAATATAAACTAAATATTTTATGAAAATTCACTAGATAAATTGTACTTTATTCTATATATCAATTTAACTGGATTCATTTAAAATTTGGTTATATTTTAATTTTAGTTGAATTCTGTAGGGTTGTTAATGGAGCATGCACGTAATCAAACTAATAAGGATGGGAATTTACTAATTTACCCCTCCTTCAATTTCTGATTGATTGAGAATATTAAAGTTGATTTAAGTGTTAGGATTAAGGGTTAGGGTTAGATCTGGATAAAATGTTACACGTAAAATTGTTGCCCAGACATTTTTTGTTAGTGATTCAAGCCAGGTTTAAGCATTCGTTTTCCGTATTTTTCACATTATTCGTCTTTTTAATTTTCTTGTATCGGATTTGTTTTCCGGGTTGATCAAAAATTTATGCATCTTTATTGGTTGATTTAGAAGACCCGGTGTGCAGTCAACCAATGTTCAATCAGAACTTGGAGGAAATTAGTAAACGCTAACGCTAAAGCCGGGTACATCCGATAATCAGTCCGAAACACAAACCAATAAGGATGCGTAAATTTTTCTCAGCCCGGCAAAACTAATCCGACACAAAAAATGAAAAATGTGAAAAATACGGGAAACAGATGTCTAAATCTAACTTGGCGCTCTAATAAAAAATGACAGGAAAGCAATTTTACACATAAATTTTTCTCGACTCTAACTCTTACCCTAACCCAAACGATAAAATTGATCTTTAATAGTTGCCGACACACATATGATTTGTGCATTCTTATTGGTTTGTTATCATGTGATCGCGAACCGAGCACAGATTATAATTATGCATGGAGCACACCGGATCATATTAAAACATAACCCACTCGGAGTGGGTTGTATGTTTTAATATGATCCGGTGTGCTCCATTAACAACCTTAGAATTCTGATCAAATTATATGTGTATTTAGCAAAATTAAGCTAGTTTTATAAAATTGGGGCTTCGAAAAATATTCTGATTTTAAAATTTTCAAATAAAATTCATATTTCACTGAAGTTTTGACAAAAATTGAATTTCTTGAAATAATGTTAACAATCGGATCATTTGTATGACTTTAATTTTCGATAAAATTTGATTTTGTTCTTCAAAATCGATTAATAGGACATAAAATGTGCATCAAAAATTGTTTTCAATTTCTTAGTACGTAAATATTCATAATGTCTCATGTTGACGTCGTCGTAATTTGTAGTTGAGTATCGATTTTAAAATTGAGAATCGATTCCTATCGCTATCCTTATTCTGAGGTTTGCTCATATTTTTAAATCGAATAGTTAAATAGAGTCCACGATAGAATAAGAGTTAGTTCAAATAAAGCTCATTCTTTGATTTTTTCGTTTTCTACTTTATATCAAGCTCGCAATCAGTTATAAATCACCTTTCATGAAAATATTAAAAAGAGTTCGAATTTATATTTTTAATTAAGACAAATTTTTCACCTTTTTTAATTTAACGTAACTCGTTCTTAAGGAAGATACTTTATGTGAGACAAAACTTCTGATAATACAACCACAAAATGCCGACAATTAAAATCCATGTTATTGGTCGCTCCAATGATGATACGGTCGAAGTAACAGATGACAAGAATTACTCTATTCAGGAATTACAAAAACAAATCAATTACCGTGGATTAATTTGGTGGTACAAAGATACCTTCCTTCAAGAAGGTATAACGATAAATTTTAATATTTTTATTACATTGACATATTTGAGAAATTAATTTTTATGTATCAATTTCTTTATTATCTGACATTTATCAGGTGACATTTGTCCCATTCTGGATGAGAAAGAAAAGATTTATGTGGTGGCCGATATTTTGGAAAAACGCATAAGCCTAAATTACAATCAAAATAACAATACGGCCGTCCAAGAGCAAAGAAAGGAAAGAGAAGATGGTATGGATTTGCTGGATATGGATACTAATTATGAAGAAAAAAAGAAAATTTTCAGAAATACCGTTGCAATCGACCTTCAGGATTCGTTGATTTGATATCGATTCGATATGGAGGTGAATTATCGAGAGAAAGATAGATATGCCTTAAAATATAGTTGCATATGAAAGAATCAAAGTCATATTCAATAAATTATAATAAGAACAAAGATTCATATGTCTGAAAACTCGTACAAAGAAAGTAATTACGTACGTTGGGCTTATTTTCTAAATCTGATATCCAATCTTTTTCCATAATTTGTAAAGCTACGTGTGATTATTTATCTCATTAATTCTTGAAATAAATTTATGCTGTACATTTTATAATTAATTTGGTTTATAATATACAATAACAATACATATTAGTAAGAAAAATAAGGATGAGTATCTCGCAAAATTCCCACTTAAAATTACCAGGCAGCAACTATCTCTCATAGAGAACAGATGTAGTCGTTTGGAGAATGAAGCTTCCTCGATGAATATAATCTTTTTTAAACATAACATAATACTGGCCAAACATAAAAATCGCGCATTCAAATGTTTCGCATGTAGGAATTGATCCTTCTGACAGAGCAGTCGTCATAGCCAGTTCTTCTGAATCCAAAAATGCTATTGATGTCAATTTTTTTCTACAAGAATAATGCCTGTCATAATGAGTTCTTCTTGCTTCAAGGATTCTCTGAGAATTCAGACAAATCTAATAAAAATATCGTTTATTCGACTGCTGCGAATGAACATTTGTTGGATAACGCAGAAAAAAGGTTTGATTATTTTTTTAGAATAAATTGTCAAAAAACAAGACCTACTTATTGGATTAGGTTGTAAAAGAAATCATAAGGCTGGTTTTCATGGTGCTTTCGATTCATCTTTATGTAAAGTTATATAATACAATTAGTCGAATTTCTTATCAAATGTGCTATCGCTATTGTTACCGAGTTGGGGCTAATTTCGTTAATCTCACAATTTTGGTAAAGCTCGCTTGGCCCGCTTCCGTTAGTCTACTTTATTCGCTCAAAAATCCTATTCTGATACCTATGCAATGTTATATCCTAATTTCTATTTTTCTTTTCTTTTATTTAAATCCTTAAGTTCTCTCTCAAATTCTCTATCAAATTCACTCTTAAACAATAATGTGCATTATGTGCTAAATTCTAGAATAATACTTCACAATGTAATCAACAAGATGCATATATAATCCTCAAGAACATTAATAAAAATTCAGAATTAATTGCATGCAATTCTTCTCCAAATAATCTAGATTTGTAAATTGTTGTAATTGATTGTGGTTAGGATTTTTGATCCAGAAAAGGCATTGTTATTATTAATGGCATATTGATTGATTGAAAAGTGCTTTGACGTTGAATAGTTTAAGAATTTTTAGCTAGAAAAAGCAATAATTAAAGTTAATAGGAAAAATATTATTAAGAGAACCTGTCACGTAAAATATAGAAATAAAACCACTTACCTAAAACCTTAACCATTCAAATTCTCTTCTGAAGTCCCTCTCAACTAAAACTCTGTTCGGGTCGGGTTTGAGGTCAACCCGAACCGATAATTTCGGGTCGGATCGGATTCGGATCGGGTTTGATCCGAAATCGTAAAATAGTTTGCGTTGACAGCTTTTATTTTTATTAAGACACTTGTATTTTGTGCCTAAGTAGAGTTGTTCAGAATGTAATTGTGTATATACCCACAAATTTTTGTTTAATTCCAATTAATATTGAACGAGAAATAACGTTTTTTAGGCTGACCCGAAATATTTCGGGTCGGGTTTGACCCCAATCCGACTCGACCCGAAATGTGCGTTTCGGGTCGGGTCACGGATCGGACCCGACCCGGTTGGAGCACGATCTCAACGGTTATATCCATAAATATTGACACAGAAATTAGAAATTAATGAACATTGAGTTTATCCTCTATCTCTCAATCTATTGTTATGAAAAAATTATCAATTACCATTATATCTAATTACGATCAATCTGCAACACTAGAGTTATTAATCAGTTCTAAATTAGTTCCAAGAATTTTAAAAATTACTAATTCTAGAAAAATCAAATTGCTTAACAATAATAATTAACTTGTTCTAAAATATTGCTATAAATAAGTTTATTAATAATTTGTAAAATAAAAATTATTTTCAAAATTAACAATCTTCTTGAATTGTTTCAGTTTGTAAATAATCTCAAATTTATTTTAAATTTTACATTTTAAAAGTTTTGAATTCTCAAGAAATTCTATTACTTATTTTCAATAAATAACTTATATTAAATCATTATTATAAGCAAATTTAATTAGTAACTTATAAGAAAAAATTTATTATTAAAATTAGTAATTTTTGTGAAATTATTTGAATTATTTGGAATTAGTTAATAATTCTATAGTAAGAAATAGTATAAGATATTTAATAATATTAATTTTGAATTGTAAATTTTATATATAATTATAATTAAAGCTCTAAAAAGCTTAGATTATTGATTTATATATATATATAACTCATATATATATAATTTAATTAATAGAATTTAAACTCATATTATTAACATTTTTAGCTTAAGAAACTCAAGAACCAGTTTATTAGGAGCTTTAATTATAATAATCAATTTGTTCAATTAGAATTTTTTATTTATAATGTAATATTATAAATATCAAAATTAGAATTTTACAAATTTATATTATAAAAAAAGAAAATTAAAAAATTAACTTAATCAAAAAATTATTATTTTATTATATTATTTTTTTATATTATATTTTCTTTTTAAATTATAATATTTAATATAATATTATTTAAAATAAATATCTTATACTATTTCTTATTATATAAAATATAATATTTAAAAACTAAAATTATATAACTTATTACATTTTGAAATTCAAATTTTAAGAATAAAATTTATATTATTATAAAATTCAAATTAAATAAAATAAAAAAGTATTATTTTTCAAAATAATATAATTTTTAATATTAATAATAATAGTAATAGAAATTAAATATATAATTTAAACTTTTTGAATTTATAATTTTAAATTTATTTTCTTAATTAATAAAAAATATAATAATATATAGTATAAATAAATTATAATTCTAATATAATAATATTTAATATAAAAATTAATATTACAAATTAATTAAATATTTTTTTATTTTATAAAAAATACAAAGTTTAATATAATAATTAATATAATTTAATATATAATAACAATTAAAATAATAGAATATTATTAAATTATTAATAAAATATAATAAAATACAAGTTTGTCTTTTTATATAAAAATTTTTAATTTTACTCATAAATATTTTTTATTTTTATATTAAAATAAAAATAATATTTTATATTTTAATATATATTTTTTTTATTTTTTTAGATTATTTAATTTTAATTTAATTAAGTTATTCTAATTATATATAAAATTAATAATTTTTTATATATTGTATTATAAAAAATATTGATAATTAAAACAATTTAATCAGATTAAATCTAAAAATCTGTAAAAAATATTTGTTAAAATATATAATATTATCTTTATTTTAATACAAAATAAAAAATTTTTATTAATAAAATTCAAAATTTTTATATAAAGAAAAAATTTGTATTTTATTAATAAATTTTAATATTATTATATTAATATATACTTTATATAATTTTATATAATACTTTTTAAAAAAGTATTATTTTATCATTTTGTCTAGTGCTTAAAATTTAGTATTTTTATTATATTTAATATTTATTTTTAGCAAACTTATAATTTTGATTATTTTATAATTTTTAATATTATTATTTAATATTTTTTTATAATATTCTTTTATATTTTTATTATTTAATACTTAAAATATATTTTTTGTTATATATAATTTAATAATTATATAATTTTAAACTTCTAATAATTATCTTATTTTTTAATAAATAAAAAATATAATTAATTAATTTATATATATAACAAATAAATATTATTATAATAAATAATAAAAATAAAATGTTTTTTATAAAAACTTGTTTTTATATAATAAAAATATATTTAAATATTATATTTAAATACATAATTTAAAATAAATTATCTTATAATTAATTTTTTTATTTATTATTTTTAAATTTTATAAACAAATTATTATAAATAAGTTATAATAAAAGAATTTACTTAAATAAGCTATATTTTAATATATATTTTGAATTTATTATTTTTATTTTATTATTTTAATTTTAATAATTTTTATTTTAATAATTTTTAATTATTATTTTGTTATTTTGAATTATTTAAATAATATTAATATAAAACTTAAATATTTTCTTAATATTATTATTAATTTTTTTCTTTACTTTTATTAATTTAATTATAATTCTCAATAGTAATAGCAAATATATTTTTTGTTTATAATTTAATAAAAATTTTTAAAAGTTATAAAATTTGTAAATTTTATAAAGTATATTAATATAATAATATTTTATACAAGTTAATAACTAGTTCAAAAAAATATATAAATATAAAAAATAAAATTTAGTATCAATCAAAATTTATATGAAAAAAATATTTATTTTACAAAGATGCAAATAAATTTGCATTCTGTAAACTAAATTAATTAAAATTTTATCAGCAAATTCTTTAAATTAAGATACATTTAATGATAATAAAATTATTCAATTTGAATTACTAGATATAGAAATATCACATTTCAAAGATAATGTACAAAATTAAAATAAAATTTTTTGAAAAAAATAGTTTTTTGTAAATATCTCTGCATACAATAAATCAAATTATATGATTTTGATATCATCAGATTTGTCTTGACTAGATGAATATAATGATATTAAAATTATTCAATTTGATTCACTGAATATAGAAATATTTGCAAAAATATTTATCTGATTTTTGTACAATATTTTGAGACATTATTATATCTCTGCATCTAGTAATCCAAATTATATAATTTGATATTATTAAATTCATCTTGACTTGGTGAATCTGATGATATAAAATTATTTAATTGGATTCACTGGATATGAAAATATTTGCATATTTATAAAATATAATATTTTTTCACATATATTTTTTGAACTAGTTATTAAAATTACTTGAAATTTTGATATAATGCACAATATGTTTCAATGATTCTATTAGCTTAAAATCATAAATCTTGTTTTTTATTGGCTTTTGCATTATTGTATTTTATATTGTATTTTAAAAAGTGTCCATAATATTCAGGGAGATCACTGTATATCTATTACCAATTAAAACATACTTGCATTGCGCATTTTTTTACGAATCACAAAGGAGGCTGAATGTTCTTGATTGACAAGAGAATTTTCATATTCATAACAAAGAATTATTTATCAAAATGACAAAACAGAAAACGGATAAATTCGGTGAAACCTAATATAGTATAATGATAACATCAATACACCATAATACAACCTTGTAACATCTTAATTGTTATACATTATTGACTAATTAATTATGGTAGTTGAAGGTGACGACAACGAGTTAATCAAAATCGCTATACAAATAGGTTCGATATATCATATTAATTTTCTTGAACCTTACAAATAGGAAATCGATTCAATTATCAGCGAGCTCAGATTATAATCTCATATATGCGTAATGTTCCATTCTTCAGAAAAGAGAAATATTGTGTTACCTAATGAGTAAATATAATGAACTCGGATTTCTGACAAACTTTTGCACGAACCAAAAGAAAACATGTAATATGCTACATTAAATAAATGACACAGTAAAAAGGGGGTGGTACATTAGTGGCTTTTTTTGAAGTTTATATGATTCCTTCCAAATTCAATGAATTGTTAAAACCTACTAGAAAACCATTAGAAAATTCGTAATTCCCCTAGGGTTCACAAAAAAAACCCACTAGTGTACCACCCCTTTTTACCTGTGTGGATTTATCTGTCTTTTTCTGTATCATAAACATCTTTAAATTTTTATTTGATTCAATTTTATGGAGCAAGGAATCAAAGATGGCCGAGTTAATCTCAGCAACTTAGAATCTAAAATATTATTGGTCAATTTCATAATTTATAAGTTGTATTTTAAATATTGACTTTAATGATATAGAAAATTTATCGATGTATAATATAAAAATCTAATGCTTCGTATTCAAATATTTTATTTGGCAACAGAAAACGCTTACACTTCGACTCGCGTGGGACTTGAACCCACAATCCCCGGATTAGAAGTCCGATGCCTTATCCATTAGGCCAGCGAGCCTTTAACGTGTGCTTTTGTTTGTAAAATTTAATAGTTATTTTGATTGAGCCTATAAATAGTAATAATAATTATTATTATTATAAAATAGACAATAGTAAATGGCATAAAAGAAGGGTTGTTTTCGCCTCAACTATAACAATAATAATGTGACGATGTTCAGTTTAGACAAAATCTGCTTTATTTAAAATAATGATGAGAGAATTTTAAAGATAAAAACAATGTAATTATTAAGTATGTTCACGAGTGAATATGATTTTGAGATTACCGTTTTCGTCAACAAGCTAAGACTGAAATGCGTAGAAATGACATGTTGAAATGTTTTAATTTAGAATGACTAGCTAAATAAATTCTGAATACATGTAATGCACTCAGTAAGCTCGTAAAGATTCCATATACCGATACATGTAATTGTTAATCAGATTTACATTTCTAATTTGAATATGGAAAAACATGTCGTTTTTAGTTTCTAAAATGTGCAGTATTATTAAATCCGGAAAAGTTTATCCAACATTTAATAATAAAGTACGTAACCAGAACAGCTTTTTCCTGAAATCCAAAATAATGACAGCATCTCCATGATTATCGTTAGTCTAAAAACAGATGCATCACATATCGATATTCTTATGATTGATGACAACAAAAGATCTGCATTTTTCTCATCATTGTTAAAATATCATTACTCAATTTTTCTAGAGATTATGGATCTATGATTCCAAAACTAGTTTCTCCCGAACATTACAAGCAATCAAAACTGTATTATTCCGAAACACACACAATTACCGCATTGTTCTCTTACCATACAAATAATAATAAAAACTTTAAGTGAGAAATCATATCATCATCCTTGAAAATCTATCAAATGAAAAATGCAAAGGATTGTCTCCCGTCAAAAGGGGGAAAACATTAACAACACAGTGATACGGAACAGTATCTTGGCACCTTTATTTAAATCAGCAGGAATATAAAGAACCCTTACTCGTTCAAAAGAATACAGAGGCTAAAACAATTATACTATTTTATACACATTAAGTATATGTTGTGTTCACTCACTGTGACAAGCTACCTATTAAAGTTCTCGAATGCTGCTGGTATTGTTTCCGGATACGGAAAAAGATTTTAAATTTTACACATATTAATCAATCAACGATTTCTATGAATTTATCACATAATCAATGTAAACTGACATAATTTTTCGTGTTATAGGTCACCAGATCAGATTGGTTTACTACGTACGTAACTAACTGAAATCATCATTGTTCTCTATAAGTAGTAATTACATGTGCGTATATATTATTTAAAATATAATACATAAAAGTTTGGTTAACATAGTCAATCGAGTTATTGTTAAAAAATTCTGGAAAAACGAGGAGGACAAGAGGAGCGTTGTTCTCGTGTTCCCATTTTGTAACGAAACCCATTAATTTTTCTCTTTATTATTTAATGTATCCATCACACAATTGATAAATTGATACTATTCAACAACTTCTTCTTCTTCGTTAACAAAGTCAACGGGGAGAACAATAAGGGTATTGATGTCATTTTCCGGTTCAAGTTGACAATACGCACCCGACAAATCGAAAAAGATATTCATTTACGTAATGTATATTTATTTTCACTTGATATTTTATGCGGATATAACACATTAACTAAACTAACCAACATCTACCAGCATAAAGAACTAACTATACACATATTCAAATAATACTACAAGAAATACACGCATACACATCATAGAAACAGAGTGCATACATTCTCAAGCATTTATACAAAAAATTGAGTGCGGTAAATCTTTTTTTTTTTAGACTGGTGAAGTTGATAAAAACGAAGACAGAGACAAACGGACAAAGGATCCCGTCACTCATGTTCAAAATATATTAGTAATAAAAAACAATTATTCAAACAGGAGTAAAAAGAAGGTGTGCTGATGCTAATGATGATTATAATTATTATTATCTTTTGTAAATTTGATTATACAATACAATAATGAATGATAAGTATGTGCTGCGCCCTCCCTTATTTTATTGCTGCTTATAAAACAACCGATCCGCTTGCATACATTTGTCGTCGGTCAACTCTAAACAACTTCATCTTTTTCAATCTATACTTGTAACGATTTTCCTGTTTCGTATTTTTTCTTTAAAAGTTCTTATCGCGCATTTCTCGTAAAATTATTGTTATTCAAAAGTTAACCAAAATGCGTGTTAAGCGATCCGCTTGTCGGTCAACGCGAATACCAAACGAAATGTTATTACAAAGTTTAAGACTATCTTCCACTACTACCGCTAATACAACACAGAACCCAAACTATCTTTCATCTTCTCAACTAATAGACAACAATAATATAGCATTTACACAAGTTACCACCACTACAACAGCCACCTCACTATTAAAATCGGCAAACACCCCAATCGAAATTCCATCTAAATTCTTTGAGGATCTCTATTCAGATTTAGATCCCACGATGCTACTACGTATTAAGGAACAACTCACGTTACCAATTCATGAATTAATCACGCCAAAGCGTAAATCACGTCGGGGTCAAACGCCGCGTCCACAGAATTCGTTTGTGTTGTATCGACATGAAATTCAAGCGAGGTTAACAAGGTATCGTGGACCAAAAATTGGTGCTAATCTGCCTTTAGTGTCGAAAATTGCATCAAATAACTGGGAGATAGAGCCACAAGAGGTTAAACAAGTGTATGAAACTCTTGCGGAATTAGCGAAAAAAGTTCATTTGAACGTGCATCCGGATTACGTTTATAAACCAAAGAAACGTAAAGATAAAAAATCGACAAAATTCGATTATGATGTAGAAGAGGAAGATTTATTAAGAGAAACTAGTAGTAATAACGATAAGAGTAATGATAGTAATGATAATGATGTATCGTCGCTTGCGAATACACAAAGTCGAAGATTAAGTGCCGCGTCAATAAATCTTTTCCAATTACAACAACGAGGATTCTCCATGAATGAAGATGGTTGTCGACAAAACAACGATTGCTCATATAATAATATCGATATCCATAACGATAATTATTCTCAACCGATTGCATCATCATCGTGGCGTACTTATCATTCCTCATCCTCAAATAATAATTTGCCTTCCATTGCGACTTTAACCACTTTATTAAGATCACCATCACCATCACCACACATGAATAATTATGATAGCGGTGACAGTAATAATGAAGAATCGTCTCACGAATATTTAATTAATGACATGCAAACCTATCCTAATTCTCCTATACAACACCACCATCGACAGCAAAAACAAGAACAAATTGTTGATAATAAGATAATAGTGTGTAACGAGTTCAATTGCACTTGCTCAAATGAGCAACCTTTGATTCAACAATGGCATTTGAAAACTGTATTGCCACAAATCGAATCGGCGCGACAAGTTGAATTAAGTGATTCGTATGATCGTGGTATGTGTAGATTATTCGGTGCACCCTAACGCTAATATAAAATAAATCTTTTAGCATTCAAATAATAAAATGACTTTTTACGATATATTGATCTCATTTACGTATACGTATAAGTAATAGCGATAGTGATAGACGTATTTTGATTGATTGTTGAATAAAAAATATTTTTATGTGCATTAATCAATTATTTTTTTATTGATCGAATCGATTTGATATGAATATTGACTTGGTCGATTAAAATTTTTTATTTTACCTACTGTATAAGTGAAAAAAATTCAAGACATTAATATTAACAACAAAAAATCTATACACTAAAAGAAAATAAAAATAAACAAATATTATACAAAATTCAAATATATTGCTGCAATAAAATAACACGACTTTAAGCAGCACTATTAGGTAAAATGCAACCACTATTCTCTCTTGGGACAACAAAAACTTCAAACGTGCCAATTTCATTAACGACTGTATACCGCCATGGAAGTGGTTTATTAGGATAAGCCAATTGAAATGTGTATTTTCGATAGATATTTGCTAAAATTGTTTTAATCTCGGCCATAGCAAAATTCTTGCCAGGACACGATCGCATTCCTTGTCCAAACGGGGAAAATGCATATTTTGGTAACTGATCTTTCCGATGCTCTGTGCAATTCTCTGCGCAATTCTCTGCGCAATTCTCTGTGTAAAATCGATCTGGATCAAATGTTTCGGGATTGGGAAAGTATTTTGGGTTTCGTTGAATGTGTGCAAGGTTTATGCCGAATATTGTGTTTGGTGGGAATAAGCGACCAGCAATTTCAAGTTCTGTGTCGGTGCTGTAACGGTGTACCAGTGGGACAACGGGATTTAAACGTATGGTTTCGTTTATGACAGCTTCGGTGAATTTTAACTTATCGAAATCTTCAACTTTGACATTCTGATTTGAACCTAACACTCGGAATAATTCATCGACCATTCGTTTTTCTACCTCGGGGTGTTTGGCCAGATGATGGACTATCGCACACAGTGTGCTTGTAGTAGTTGCAATTCCTGCGCCAAACATCTCACGAATGTTTTGCTTAATGACATCAGCATCATCAGTGGATGTCAATAACATTGTAAGAAAGTCTGCTTTTACTTTACTATTATTGCTATTAACAGAATTTACATCAGGCTGTTGCTTCATCATTGTGATTTTGCGTTCGTTGATTAATTCTAATTCAAACTTTCCTAATTCCTTCAAGACATTTTTGTAATGCTCGACTTTTGGTTTAATAAGTGGAAAATTCCATAAAAAAGTCGGGACAAACACCAAGAAACCTAATGCATCCGAATACTCTGATCGAAGATTTCTGTAAATTTCACCAGATGTTATTTCATGATTCTTTTCCTTCGCGTCTTCGTTGACTCGTAACGAATGTTTAGAATTTGCTTTTACTCTTTTATCATTGGTTAACTGCATCGAATTTTCTTTTACCCCTGAAACAACTAATCCCATCATATCAGAAGTAAAAGATCGAAACCATTCATCCAATTTCACAATTTCATTCTGTTTCAAATTACTCCAATACCCAAATAACTCTTCACAGGCCTGATTCGTATATATAGCGCTCAACTTTATAAACGAAGGCGGTGACAACGACTGCGAAAAATATTTCCTATTGTGTTTCCATTTCGGTACATTATTATTAAACAACAACCCATCACTTTCCATCCCAAGTGCTTTTATCCCTTTAAACGGCGGGATACGACGCAAAAATGGCGAGTCAACTTTTGCACTGAACAAGTCGTTGAGATCTTTTGGATTGGCGAGGACAACGGTGCGGTAGCCAAACATACTGAATTCGTACGTGTCACCGAATTTCTCGTTCAAGCGAGAACTTGTAGCTGCGAAGTTTCCGATGAATAAGTAGAGGTGGCCGATAAACGGGAGTGGAACGGGACCGGGGAATCTTTCATGACGTTTACGGTAAAAGTTGAAATATGTTTGGAAGACAGAGTATATTATGAATAATGTGAATATTAGTGTAAAGTCAAGATTTAATATGATAGTGAATATGGAAATTGGTAATTCTAGTATTCGAGTAAAGAGACCCATTTTATTTTAATTTGTTTTCTCTGAATATATGCTATATTTTCTCGATTGTCTTGTTAGAAGGCGACTACCTATAAAGTTGTCATTAACTATCATCATTTTATAGACTTTTTTTTCGTCACTTGTAGCCTAACTAATATTTCTAAATGAGAACAATACATCTAATTAGAGATCTTTGCTGTTTGATATTGTGTTGTGTAAGTAATGAATGATGTTCACTCGTGATTGTGTATTGTTATTAAATACCTGTGTAACGACATGAATGTATCAGTTATATGCTAATCCTATTGTCGAATTCTAACACTGATTAAATATTGTTCTTAGGTTATTACATGTATTGTTATCATTATCTATAATACGTAATTACAGATAAGTTCTATTAAACTGCCGGATGATTTCTTTTTTCGCATTACTAACTCGTATTCACTAATTGTCGTAAAATAACCACCGAGTGGTATTTCACTTTACATTACTGAAAGTATCTATGCTAACTAAAACCGAATACCACATCTCACCGAGTTAATAGTGTGTTTGATAAGTGATAGGGTATCTGTTAACGATGAGCCGGCAACTAAGAAGAGTCACGTTCAAGAAATAATCACGGTTTGGAATGCCGATCATTGGGTTACTGGAGTCGTAATTCTACACCTTGGGATAGTGCTTTTGAAAAAAAAGATACATTTTTCAAAATTAAAATCCATTTATTTTTTTATTTTTCACGGACGGATATCACATCAATCATGAGTTTTGAGAAATGTTGAGCGAGCTAATAGAAATTAATTCAATCAATTCATTTTTTCATGTAGCTTCTGGTAGATAAATTCTGTCAAGATAACCGAGAGTGGATATGATTCTGCAAACTCCTTAAAAAGAAGCTCGGCAACTAATGCCCCAGCCCTGTAAAAAAAAATAAAAAAAATAATCAAGAAAAGGTCCGGTTTTTTAGTTCCGGAAGATCACAAGTTTTGTTAACAAATTTTCGGGTTGAAACCTGATAAAAATCTGATAAAAAACAGAAAAAACGGGGAACGTGATAACTCGGGATCCACCGATCCAATCCGAACAAAATATACCATTCGATTCGTCTAGTCTTGGTGAATCGAATGGTGGTATTTTTGTCCGGATTGGATCGGTGGATCCCGAGTTATCGCGTTCTAAAGTTACCGGATTGATTTTTTAATTTTTTTTGTTCAAAATTAAAATGGATGTATTATTTTCAAACACACTAACATTAAACTCATCTAGTTTTGGTGAATTTAATGGTAGTAATTTTTACAAAAATGGTCTGGTAATTCATAAGATATCATGTTTCAAAGTTGCTGAATTAATTTTAATTTTTTGAAAAGAAACTTATTTGAATTTGAAACACTTAATTTGAAGCATAATATATCATGACCTACTGGACCAAATTTTGCCAAAATTTAACCATTATTTCAGTAAATCTCATTAAATATGTGACTTTATTTTCATACAATTTGGTTTAGTAATTGATAAAATATTAATTCATTTTTAAATAAATAGAGGAAAATAAAAATTTTGTCTGGTAACTTTGGGATGTGATAACTCGAGATTCACTGAACCAATCTGGAAGAAAACACCACCATTCAATTCGTCTAGTCTTGACAATTGAATGGTGATATTTTCTTTCAGATTGATTTAGTGAATTCCAAGTTATCATGTCCCAAAGTTACCAGACAAAATTTTTATTTTCCTCCGTTTTTCTGTTTTTAATCAGATTTTTATCAGGTTTCAATCTGGAAATTTGTTAACAAAACTTGTGATTTTTTGAAACTAAAAAACTGGATCTTTTTTTGTTTATTTTTTTATTTTTTTATTTTTTTTACAGAACAGGTTTCAACCAAAAAATCATGATACTTTCGAGATCCAATTCATGCTAGTTATCAAGCCTGTCACTTCTCAAAGTAACATTGAAGAGAGAATCAACAATGCCTGTTTATAATAATTATTACTAAACAATCCCAAACAGAAATACAATGAAACAATAAGTTTCAAAGATCGCAATTTAAATAGAAGATAAAGTCTTCAATTTTATTGTCTTTATTATAACTTATAATATTAATATTGATAGTGCTCATTATATTAAGATATAAGAGACAATGGAAGAACTAATATAATTTTAGTGAAAAGTCTTAATGAAGAATATCTTTTTTAAATAAATATATCTCTTTTTGCACTCTTCTATAGTCCTATTCAAAAGAGTGACTTTTGATATATTATTAAAATAACTATTATAATAGATCAGCTGGATTAAATTCAAATGATTATAGTTTGAAGTGAAAATCAGAATAATAGTTTCTGGAGTATTTTTTAGAGATTTTCTAGTTATTTGACATATTTAAGTGAATAGTTTTTTGAAAACTATGTGTAATGATCACTTATTTATAGCTAATTTTTGTATTATCAGATTTGTAATTGACTAATTTTTAGATTATTTTAAATTTTATTTATTAATTAGAATAAAATATTATTACACATTTTTCATCAATTATGAGCTAATAAATATGAACAGAAATTGAAAAAAAAACTAAATAATAAGAAAAGAAATAAGAAATATATAGTCAAATTTCTTTATAATCATAATTATACGTCTCTATAGTCATCTTATTTTGCTTTTTCATTTATATATGTAATTATAATAATCTTAGTATGATTAATCGCATTTTTTTGTACTGTTGTATAATAACCTTTCATCATAATATTTTATTATTGGATTATAAATATCTCATATATTATTGGATAAAGATCATATCACGTGAAGCGA